CAAATACAGTAGATGTGCGACAATTGTCCGTCGTTCCTCGTTTACTCGATGTAACCCTTCGTCGACCCTCAAGCGCTTTCCGGCATACGAGACGCTTTCAGTGTTTTTATGTTTGGCATTGAAGACGCCTGGTGGCAATCGAGGGTTCGCAACCCATCTTCCAATCGGCCAATTACTTAACGAGCTGTTTGATAACGATCCCCATCCAATGTCAATGAGAACCTCTGATGACCTAAAGGAGTGAGGTGCATCCTTCCAGCGAAATATGTTCCTGTTGAAGTCAACGAGCCATGCCTGCACTGTACTCGCTGTATACACGCCCGCATATATATCGAGCCGCTTGTGCCGTTCCAAGTGGCCTATAGATGTACACATATAGTGGAGAGAAAATGTGATGATACTTTTACGAAACCAATACATTACTAAGTACATAGGAGTACAGCTCGAGAATGTACCGATGGCCGATTCTGATTGGTTTAAGTGGCTACAAGCCGATTTAATCGGCACAGTCGTCATTTTTTATTAGTCGAATGATTGCCTTTTTACGGTTGGCATGCTCTCCTCGACCCATTTTTTTCAATACAATTAGATCTTCAATGTGAATCTAAACGACTATTTTGGCTAAGACTTGTCCCCGTGTCAATACCTGTCACATTCACTATTGCTGCTTGCACTGCCGCTTCTATCGAGGCATCACCGGAAGCCAAGTGCTGCCAACTCTTCATCCCGAAAATCGTCTAGCCGGACCAGCTGATGAGGAGCAGCATCAGCATTCACACGATAAGAAGTATTCTGGCCAATTAAAGGAATTTGTTGTAAAACGGCCAACAGCGAGGACAGTGACGGCTACGGCAGAGGCGAAGAAGTCTATTAAAAAAAAAAAAAAAAAAAAAAAAAACGAACGAACGATCGATAAAGCTAACAAGCCTGTTATAAGCGTGGTGAGGATTTTGTATTTGCTGCTGTGGCCACTTCGTCGCGTCGATATGCACAGACGGTCGATATGGGCGTCGGCGTGAGTGGCGCTTCTATGCGTTTGTCTGCAATAGTAATAGCATGAATTCGCAATGTTTCCACCAGACCTATCTTTCTGAACCACATCGGACTTGAAATCCACGCGGTCACACCACGCCGATTCGACAGCTACGCTATTTAATCTATTATCATAGAATCAGTTTAGCGCACCTTCAATGCACCCTCTGCTTCAATACTGATCTTCAATCTCGTCCCTGTAACACATGTTAAAATGTAGTTACCAATGCGGATGTGTCGCAGAAATGATGGCCGCAATGCTGCTACAACATTGCTACATAAGCTGCGACGCGGAAGCCGCTTAGGGCTGTATTCTTTTTTATTTTTTACAAAATTTATAATATTTAGTTAGAAAGCACTAAATTTACAATAAATATATTTTTTTTTTGTTGATACGACGAATCTTGCCTCTTTTTGACTATGCGACTGTGATATGGATTGCGTTTTTGTCAACGCGGCGCTTATGTTTAAAATCAATTATCATACATATATAGAGAAATGTGAAATTCTATGGACCAATGCTTGTTTTTCTAACAGAAGGATGTTATTTAAAATGTTTAAACTATCAAACATTTATAGATACATACGGGTTAGTCGAAATCGGGTCACTAGATTTGTTATTTGCCTGTACGTCAACAAGTGGGGCCAGCGAAACAGCAATATGTTTTTTTCGCATTTCCTCAAATGTTTTCTGAATGATAAAGAAACAAACTTACTACCTTAGTTTTCTACCGCTGTAACTTGAAGGGCATGTTTCGTTTCAGAAAGGCCATTACACTGATTTAGATTACACGATCCTTTTGGTCGCTTATATATATGTATATGAGACAGGGCAATATGGAACTGTATAGGTCTTACTTATTAAGGCTTACATTTACTAGCTTTGGAACGAATTAAAAAAAATGAAATAAAATAAAAACTATGTGACTTTAATGTACAATTCAGCTTCATAGAAATACGTATATGTATATACGAGTCAAGAATAGCTAAACATCGTAGTGTTGTGCTCGTTTTACCATATGTGATTGCTGTGAGCAACGGATCGCGTGCGGTGTCCTAAAGAGAAATGTTGATAACCTTAATCGACAACGGATTTTTCGCACAAAATAATACTGTCGACATCTGGAACACGCTGCAAAAAATCATTAATATAGATCACAATTTACAATATCAGAATCACGCATAACTACGATAGAACTATTGTGCTTCAGTGCGGTAAAATTCAAAAAATGGCGCCAAAAAAAAGAATGCGATTCATACAAGTACTTAGGCTATTCAAAATCTGCCTTGACACCTATAATTGACATATTGTAACATTTGATCTGCCTAAGTTAACAGTAAGTGAATGTTACACATTTCCTTCTCGAGCTATAATCACAGTAGTTTCTATGAAAAAAAAAAACAACAAAGAATGTTCTCTTTAGCTCTACCGAATGTGAGATTTTTTCGTAGAAAATTATCACTGCTTGTGTATCCCATCTCAATATGGCTCATGTAACAATATAGGTATCGTAAATGGACCCTGAAAATAAATCAAGTCCATTTAGGCTACATGGCGAAAGGGTTTGAAGAACATATTAGAATCATTCTGCTCTTGTTGTTTTTACAAGGTTGTTTTTTGGGGATAGCGTTTAGCACATTTTCACCCATATAGCCGCCAGTATATATATATATATATATATATATATATATATGTATATGTATATATGCACATATATGTATATGTATATATACATATATATATATAGGTCACTGTACGTAAGCAGGTAAGTGCGCAGCGTAGACAGATATTTTGGGCTGGTACGAGTGCTAATTCAGTTTACATGTAATCGATATAAACATATGTCTCGCTTATTAATGGTCACACGCATTTACCGCGCATAAACCTGATCGCTGTATTTAGCTGAGTTTTTCAGTTTTTCCTCTCTTTCTCTTTCTGTTTCCCTTTTTCTTTGAGTACGAGATTTATTGTAGGTAAACAGTAACGATCACACAAAATGGGAATATAAACATCGGTGAATAGATCAATTAAATTGGCTATTTACTTCGAACTTGAGTCGCGCTTTGGTCGGCGCCTTGCCAACATACGTAGATCGACTGATGTCCACCAGACGTGCGTAGACGGAAAAGCTCCCCAAAGATTAGACCGAGTAGAAATACACTATGTATGTATACATATATATATATATATATACATATATACATTTCGTCATTAAATCTTCATAAAATCACTAATTTTTAGCGCCAGAACGAACGATGATACGGAATGATTGCTACGGCAGCAGGAATGAACCGGATGCTGGTATCGCCGTTGAATTTTCGGCTGGCGGCCAATGGCAATAGAAGCGCTGCCAAGAAAAATGATCGACTTCCAGCAAAAATTCTGGCGTCCGAAATGTCGCATCGGAACGGGCCAGAAAAATAAGAAGTACGGGTTTAATTTGCATCTTCAATAGTCGTTCTACGTCGAAGTGCTTTTGATCTGGAGGACTTTGCTGTCGTCAGCTAACAGCTTCTTATTTTTTTTTTCTCAGACGGCGGTTTCGTAGAACTGTTAGCTGTACTAGTTCCACGAGCTATAATTTGCAATATAAATAGAATTCGTATCCAAAGATAGTCTTGATGGAATTATGCCTGACATTACACTCCGATCTTCACTGACGCAAAGCGATACCGAGGATGATGCTTGATGTGTAGTTGTGCGCAATCCCAAAGCACATTCATGAAAAGGACGAGGATAAGGTAGTATCGTAGGTCAGCAAACCGACGAACCCAGATAGATGCATCTTTGAACGAGAGCACTCTATGTGCTAAAGGAGGGTTCTGAGGATAATGATTCACCAGCGCTTAGATCAGCGATCAAGACAAATAAGAATTACATAGGCCAATCTTTATAAAACGCAGTTAAAATGTGGGCAGGGTGGGGGCTTTAACCGAACCAATCAAAGCAATGCGGATATTGGGCAGTCACTATGATATATACAAAAACAAGGTAGAGGCAACCGATGTCTAATGAAATACTTGTGATTATGTAGGGTTTTACATAAACAACACAGCGGTAAGGAGTGAACGGTGGTGGATCAGCGATAGGACGCGCTATAACATAAATTTTCAAAATATCGTAGCTCCGGAAAAGTACGCGTTGGAACGCTGAATCGTTGAACTGTCCGTGTGGGAACAGAGAGTTCTGATTTGGAATACACACATCGCTGCCGCTTCCAGCGTCAGCGAAAATTTGGAGCAAAGATGTCTACCCGACTGATCGGACTGGAGGACGGAAAAACAGCAGCAGCAGCAGTAAGGACGAAAACGTTAGAAGTCGACTGCGACCAATGGCGGCCAGCGTTTTCGATCGTGATGAACGCACCAGTCTTGACTACTGCCGAACACATGCTTGTCCTTTTTTCAGTAGTGGTTTGCTAATAGTAATGGGAAGCAAATGAAGATACAGTAGTTGGCAGGGCCTTTTATCGGGGGTGCTAGTGAAATGTAAATAGCTTCTCGTCCTGTCCGCCCTCGTCCTGTAACAGATTCGGTCAGTAACTGAACGTACATACATTCGAGATCGAATGTACTGGCAACACGTACTACATTCAGATGCTATTGTGGTTTGCCGCTGTTCCCACTGTTAGTAGACTGGCTATACGATGCAAGACTGGTCTAATGATTGAAAAGAAAGGATTAGAGCGATAGCAAAATTCACGGGCCTGAATATGGTGCGGGGTGATCCGCATACCCCTGAGGATATAAGTTTGATTACCTGTAATTTACTTATTTTAGATGTACTCGTTGTTATATTCGCGCATGAAAAGTATGTAGTACACTATGTGTTGGACGTGATAAACAGAGACTTGTTTTGTTACGTATGATTCGCCAGTATCGAAATAGCATAGCATTATCTCAAATTAAATACTAATACGCAAATATTTACTATGCTTTGTTGTACTTTTGCTTCGAAACAATTTCAGGTGATTCCGTCTTCACTCGGACAGCTTCATCATCATCAACGGTCGGGGCCTAAAGTTTTCAGCAGATAAACCTCGCCTACGCCTTCACACGAACAACAGAATGAAGCGATTCACAAATACGTGTAACAAGCAGTCTCGAATATGTTTGGTTAGACTGTTTCTTGTCAGGCTGCAGGACGCTGAACACAGGCCTTCGCAGGAAAAAAACCGTACAACCAAATTAAAAGAGAATGTAAGCTGTAATTAAAAAGCCACTACTCCAGCCTCTCTACGAGAACTGAAGATCGATTGTCACATTTGCATAACTGCCGTGCTAAGAAAGATGACAGGGGTTTGAATATGTTGCTAGGCCTATCCTAAAGGCTAGAAAACGTGAGATTCTGCTACCTTGGCTGGTCACTGGGTCGTTGTCTTGAGACAGAGGGGAATCGTGACCCTACCATTGGGATTAATCATTGGTACCGTGCTACACAGAAGAGAAGATCAACCTTACTTATCCCATACTTTTAATAAGTGCTATAATAAGCAATAAATTGTAATTAAAAATAGAACAAAGGCATCACCTGTTAGAGGAATATACTTTCATATATATATATATATATATATATATATATATATATATATATAGTATACAATGCGGTGACTCCCGAATTCGTTCGTGGAGTTGCCACCTTCTTAAAAAATTCAAGTCGAAAAAGGGTACAATACAAGGAAATCAAAGGAATTGTCGAACTGACAAGGGCAAGGGAGTCTGAACTAAGCACCCTGAGAATAAAGAATAGATATCGCAATCTCAGAGTTTACTTTTTATGAAGGAATCTTATTTGATCAAGATATCATCGAGAAGAATCACTTCAGAACGCTTAGGGGTCCAATATTTTGTAGATCCACATTTTTTGGTAGAAGATTTAATAAGTGCCAAAAAAGTCTCGTGTGGGCTGGAGAGCGCTGGTTAGAAGCTGTACGACACGCGCGCCTGTCTTGAGAACGCCGAGAGACACAACATTGAGCACTAGCAACTGCTGTCGTTGAGAACAATCGCTATAGACTGATAGCAGAGTCATGGCTGAGCATCACGAGCTCGTCGAAGAAATGACGACTTTGGAGCGGATGTCGACGCAGGAGCGACTCAAGCATGCCAAAAAGCGCCGTATTCAACAGCTCAAGAAGTGGACGCAACGAGAGAAGGAGCTCAAACGGAAGGAGCAACGTCAGGAGAAGAGCGGAGCTAAGGTGAGTGTAAATGGGTTCGTTATTCGAGGTGGTTCAAAACCAACTACCTCAGACTACCGTACTGAATCTACATAGAGTTTACTAAACAACGAGTACAGCAATGCTGACTATGTGGTTTAGGTAATATAGTGAACGTCTGCTAGCGATACCCGTTGGCAAAAGACTTCAGATTAAGCAACCTGTTATTGTTTTATTTACAAAGTACAAAAGTGCTTTTTTTTGCAAAGGATGCGAAGATTTCTTTCTGGCAGTCGCATACAACAATGGAAATGTGAAACTTTAAATATGGCCTAATCAGCTAGCCGGAATACAGCCATGCAAACGATCGAAATGCATTGTATCCTCCTAAATCTATAAAGGTTGCAGTCGCTTAATATATGACCCTAATAAAGAGCGTTGGAACATTAAGCCCAGTAGAAAAATTCCTACTCTCATTAGAGTTGTTCGCTACAAGATGTCATTTATCAAGGTTCCGTTTCACAGGCTCTCAGGGCAAACACCGGTAATAACGTACGGTGTCGGCAGGAGTGATCTTGAAGCTCGGAATTAGAGTCGCGTGAAGATCAATCATTCAGTAGAACAATTGTTCATTTGCACTGCGAGCGTTCAAAGCTCATTGCACTGGGTACATACTAGTCTATAATGGGGTATTTGTCCATCTTGACCGTCATCAACATTAGTATTGATAATAACGTTTAAGTTATTCACACAAAGGAAAAACTTCTTAATGAGCTAGCCTGCCTAGCCGAGATAACGACTAAGTTCTGTAGCCATATACTGAATAAGCCAGTTACGGAAGAAAGATCGCTTGTCGTCGATCGCTTCTTTATCATGGCATTCATCATCACGATGTTCAATAGACGCAATTTTTATAACCTAAAGTGCTACTTAATCAGGAAAGTACCGCATTGTTGAAATGACGGACGTAATTAGTGGTCATATGCATTACACATATGCTACCGTAACAAAATACGTGTACGTTTCGTAAGAAACTACGTTACTATATCCACCTACTCCAATACGATATCACCTGACTAGACTTCCGTACAGTAAATTCTACTTATTTTAATAGTTTGATTAAAACTTGTCTCTCTTAACTGTTGACAAAAATTATCACAAATACACCTCAGTTGCGATACAATTGCAAGCTTAGTTCTTCGTTGTCTGCCTTCTAGGATGCCATTCAAGACTAATTAATTTCCCAAGAGATTCGTTTTCAAATTGACTAGTATAGACGGTAGAAGCAGATTTCGCTTGCCGGAGACCAGATCTCTCTTTTGCTAACAACCCCTTTCTCCCCCATGTGCTTAACGTTTCGAAGAAGCTCCACGGATAATCGTCTAAGATTTACCAAATTTGACCCGCTTTTGTACGTATAATGCAGCTGTCGTTTAGCGCCTTTGAAACCCCTTCTTTTTCGTTCTTGATCGCTTTATACTGCCCTCTTTGTCAGTTCTTTAATTTAGTCATTCACCCACATGATACTTACGAGCAGTTCGACTCAAATTATTCAGACTGCTGCATAAAATGCAGCCCTTCTTTGGTCACCATGGAACGAATATCGTAGGGCGTACTCGGAGAGAGTGTAAAATCTGGAGAGCATCATATGCCGCTCAATCATGAAATTTTACTAAAACAAATAAGTCTGGCAGAGTTCGACCAAAATGGCGATAAATGGGCTTTTTTTATGAGCAACTTGCTTTAAGTGGAAGTCGAAATGGACGAAAAGTTTACACGAAACGAGGGTCTCCTCTACTTAGCCAGCTATGTGTGTTACTTATATGTAGGCTATATATAAGTTATACATCTAGAATAAGGTTTTAGATAAAATAAAGGAGCTAACTTATGCAAGTAGTCATAGGATCTCGCGCACTTTATGCATATGTATATTTATCAAAGTGCCTCGCTCTGTCCAGCTATAGCCTGGGTAGGCAGCAGTAGTTTCCTTTCAGCCCTAAGACACCAAAATTTTGAGGTAACAGTAACGTGGGTAAACGCGAAAGTTATATCACGACTGGTGGTAGCTACGAACCCAATTCGAAAAATGCTAGTCAGTGGTCTTCTTAGCCCCACTTATCCCTACGCCCTATTGACAAGGTCAGCGTACTGTTTCATTCGTTCTCCTTATCCGATTTCTATTATTTCTTAGATAATTTTCACTCATACGAACAGTGTGCGCATTTACTTTTGCGGCATTATAATAAACGTATCAAAGTATCTGTGTGAAATCTGCGAAAACGCACAACTGATTGTTCGTTATGACGTCGCACTTTGTAGTCTTTCTTTCCATCTAAGTTCTTCTCTAAATTTAAGAAAAATCTTTGAATCGACAGGGTACAGAACCGCTTAGACCTTGCACTCCAGCTCTTATCTACATGCGCGTTTGTAGATACCGCGCTATACAGGTACCTAACTGTAAAAGTAAACAGAGATAAATTCTCTTAGTTTTTTTCAATTACTATGTTTTTCATATCGATGACATGTTTACGTTTGTGCTTCTTCGGACACGACAGTGACGAAATGTGTTATCTGTCTTGTATTATAATCGAGTAAGAGCAGCAAATTTTGGCTGTTGCCGTGGAGGGTCCTTAATTCACTCTGCCGCTGAACGTTTGCCTATCATCAGGCTAGCGGCAGGTGACATTTGCAGGCCAGGCCTAGTCAATCGAGTACTGCCAGGTCGGACGGTCAATTAAGGTGGAACTGGCACAGAAGTATAGACGTGTTAAATAGGCTCAAGTGCGTATCGATGTATAATAACTAAAGTACGTTAATTTAGCATCGTTTAGAGTGTCTCACGACTGACAACAGCGCGAGGCCAGACCTCTCAGTCGCATGTGACGAATGAAGGATCGACAGTGTTCCTCGAAACGAAAAAGAATGGGAAATCGAGGGAATGACTACCCTCTCTGAGGCCTTTAGATATTTGTTCTGTCCGATGAACGTCAGATCAGAAGATGAAACGTAAGCATTTTTCGATCGGCATGCCTCGTATGAACATGAGGTCGCCAAACTGAGATAAATTGTGTATCAATGATTCTATACAACATATGAGACACATATAGGCAGACTCGCGGAGCCGAGTATTTTCTAGAGCCCATACGTTTAACATATCAACGTCAGCATGTTTGATTGAGGTCAGCTGCTGTGGACTTACTGAATCCATAATAATATTAACTCATTCGCCGCCCCAGACCGGTGATAATTCTCGGCTAACATTATGAGAGCAACCTTGAATTATCCAATATTTGTAGATGCCCATGGAGAAGTCCGTGATGTCTGGATTTCGTCATCAAGTAGTTATATAGTATTAGTATGACGTTGACGAGCGTGTAGATATGCCACATTAAAAGCTCAAGCGTACTCGCTATACTCGTTCATTGGTGTTAACTGGTTGGGTTAATTTAACTACGAGGCGCTTTTCGAGCTAAAATCTGGACAAACGGACTGCCCTGGTTAGCTCTCGTTTGCCCTAGATGATACCAAACGGCGACAGAATGCCTGTATCTACATTTGCAAATGGTCGTTATTGCTGTCGTTGTTGTTGTTGTTGTTGTTGTTGTTGTTGTCGTGAGAGATCTCGCGTGCCAGTGCACGACGAGCGTACTTGTATGGACATGATAAAGCGAGCGAGCGAGCGATTGCAAGATTACTAAAGTAAATTTAACGTCGATATCATTTTGAAATGTCCACGTCGGTGGGATACGTATATATTCCTATAGTTCAACAAATTTACATAATATTTTCATAGACAGATGGCTTGCCGCGCATAACGGGTAAGGAGGACCAAGACAAGAAGACTTCTGCCAGAAGACTACGTCCAGTCACGAAATCATTTACAGATGAGCAAAATTGTAATTTTACCTATGTAAGAAAAACATTTTTTGTATTTGACATGTATCAGTTAGCGACCTTTCGATTCATTGACAGAGGAGTCCGGAAGTCGGCAGCGCTTCTATCCACACCTGCCAGTGAACAAGATTTCGAACTCGGCTTTTGCTGTAACCCGTCTTCGTCCGGCTAATACTGTATGAAACGAAAGCGTTATAGTTTGTGGAGCATCGATAAATGTCCACTCATCTATATGGGCCCTAGGTATAGGCAGCTTTTGAAAGACCAAGGCCCACCTCCGGGATAGCAACTGAATGGAAAAGAACTATATGCCTGTTATAAGCGCGCGTTTCAAAACCTGCACAAACTCACATAATATAATCTGGAATATATTTCTAGGGAGCCACTGCTCGACATTTATCGCTAGCCTTGTGCTGGTTATCTCGTTCCGTAGCTGCGGCCGGATAGACTATCCTACTTGTGCGACGTCCTATTCGGGCAACTTCTTTGTTCTCTGGTACTTTATGCGTGTTGTAACATACCATTACGTTTGGTTGACTGAACAATGAATTCGAGGAGCTGGCCGCATACAAGCCATACCTTCTTCCATTGCTAGGAGTGGGTAGGACACAGATTTTTCATGCACAGTTTGCACCCGTTCGCGAGGGCGTACGTGCCTTGTAATGTTAAGGCACGCTAAGCTTTTGAAGGCGTGCTTTCTCTCTCACGCACTGCATCCGTGGTGAATCTATTAACCGACATAAGAGAGAGAAAAAGGCGGCAAGCTTCAGAAGCCTGGAAGCAGAGTCAGGATGAACGCGCAACCTTAGTTAGGGCGGATGCTTTGTGATGCCAGCGCTGCTTCTCTCGTTAAGTTCCCTTAGTCGGTTGCTTGCACAGTAGCCTTTTGTGGAACTGGGTCCTCCCTAGGCGTTCTCCTGTTCACTTGCTCGGCTCAAGTCTACCTCAGGTCAGCATATGGCCAGCATAGCTCATTGATCTGCCGGACGGCAGCAAAACGCCACTACGGCAATAGATATTTAATATCGTTTTCATCATTAACTTGCCAGCGACGGCAGGGACTTACTTAGAAAGGAGCAGCAAAAGAATAGCTATGGGTTGGGTCGCTAGGTGCCAGATGCCGGCTGCAGGTGAAGACGGTTGTCAGT